TTTTTATCATGACAAATTGAATTATAATATTACTTAGTCTGTGTGTTTACTTCTTAATATTTCTGCATTGGTATAGTATGAAAAAAGTTGTATAATACATTTAGCTGACAGGAAATGTGTTTCTCAAACATGGATAAAAATACCGCTTAACGATTTAATCCTTTGTACTTTATAATGTCTGTAGAAAAAGTCAAGTAACCCAAATAAAATGTTTTTTTTTTAATGGAAAGGGATTAAAACCACAAAAAGTCAGTCTCAAGGCCTGACTTGTTTTTCCTTTTTGTCAGTGAGCATCAAATTTATTTTGTATTTCTGGCTGCATTTTGAACAGTGAAGAAGAAAATATTTTCATTAAGAAAAAACGGTTTATCTTGAAACTAATAATAGTTCAAAAAAGTGCAGTTAATTACAGAAGGGTAGGATAATATCTTACAAGGCCGACTGAGAGATGAACAATCTGTCCATGAGTAGCGTTTGATGTTCTTTATAGATTCCAAAAAAGAAGCAGTCTATGCAAATATCTGTAGACATAATATTGTTCAGGAAATCAGTGATACAAATTCTTTCTCTTTGCATTGCTTTTATAGATGATAAATAGATGTATTATAGATTAAAAAAAATCTTAACAGAGTAGAAATGTTTATTCTTGTTCAGAAAATGTGGTCTTATGTATGTTAATCAGAATTAAATTTCACTGTCTCTAGAACTGTAATATTTTTGTTGTGGTAAAGTTTATACTAAATGTTGCTGAAAAGACTCAAATATGCTTAGCTCATATGCTGTTGCAATATTAGAATCATAGGTATTCAGCATAAGATACTAAACATAAAAATGCAGATTTTTATAGACAATACATTTTTAAAATCTTGTAAAATGTATATTGCTATAATAGCCCATGATAATGCAGCATTTTCTGATCCTAAGGTCTGAACTGGCTTGTTGGGATGTGCAAGTATAAATATGATCATTGATTAATCAGTCAGTTTTTTATATCTAAATGAAAATGTTTAGATGTATACTCAAATATAAATACATTCAATAATGTTCCACTGTGTTTTTAATCATGACTGAATGTTTCTGGTTATAATTGGGTGATTTCTATCAATTTTATGTCTATTTTTTGTTTTATTGTAGATTTTGGGTTACAAAAATTGTGAATTAAATACACATAGACAAAGTTTTTGTCAATTTTTAGGTTTTTCTTATTTAAGTGAGGGGATGCCAGTTCAGAGTAATTTATATTAGTGTATTAATGTTTGTGCTAACATACTGTAGTATAACAGTAATCTTTTGGTCTTTTGCTCTAAGGTAGCATAATATAAGGCAGAAGGTTACCTTCTCTCTCTTTGGCAAATAGTTGTGACCTCTGTTTGGAAAAAAATCTGTTGGGCAGAGGCATTTTTAGCAATGTGTAGGAGAAGAGATAAATAACTTTTTTTTTTTGCTTTTTTCTCAAGTTCACTTGGTTTTAATACACTGTTCTGTGTGAAATATTTAAGAAATATTTGAATTTGATCTAATAGAAAAAAATGAAGCAAAACTAACACAGACAATCTCATATTTTAAATAAAGATATGATTTGGAAGCAAGAGTGGACAAGTTCTCCTTTGTCTTTCTCAACCAAAAATGCCAGGTTGCTGATCAAGTATATGAATCACAAAATCTACAGAATGGGATAATGTAGAATGAGGTGAAGGATAGAATAGAGACTCAGAATAACTTTTAATGAACTATAACCATAAAGCTGGATTTATAAATCATTTTTATAGATTTTTGTTAGAATGTAGTATACTAGCACATGGCAGTCTGAAGCCTACAAAAGCATTCCAGTTGGAAATATATTAATTTGTCTTCCTTTTCCTAGATGTTTATATTTTTAGCTTTGGTATTATTTAATGTTATATTATTTGAAGAACTTTTCCATTATTACTAGAAATCACATTAAATTGTCCTTTCAATAAAATAAAATGAGATTTGGGGAAAAGGGGAAATCAGTGGAGAGATAAATAAATACTGCAGAATACTGGTAAATGAAAGGGGAGAAAGGGGCCTCTTATTTTTGGCAGGCAGATTTCAGAAATGTTGAATGCTACTGAGAAATGGGTCAGATGGGAATATCACGAATTTTAGCATATGCTTCTAAGAAAAAATATATTTAAAAAGATTTAACAATGAAATTATATACAGACATACACACACCCCTATTTAGTAGAAAGTCCTATTGAGTTAAGTGGAACTCACTTTCAGGTGAATGTACATCAGTGTGTAGCCACTGAGTTCAATACGGTTTAAGTAGATTTATACTGTTGATAATCAAAATAAAAATCAAAATGAACAATTAATACATTTTTTAAAAAAACACCCAATTATAAAAGTAACATTGTTTGGTTTGGTAGCTATGCCTGCTGGTACTTTTCTTTTTCATCCATCCAGTTCTGTTTGCTTCTGGTAGAATCATATATCTGTTATTTAATCTTCCCGTGGTAACAATTCGTATTCTGAATCTAAACTTAGTACAATACTTAGGTGTATATAAGACTTTTTTTTGAAGTGGGCCCTTAGAATAAGTGTATTTTGATATAGTGACCATCTGCTCATGAATATCACATTTGTTAGTTAAAAAGAATAGTTTGATTCCAATAAATACGTAATTTTGGTTAGATTGTATCATTTCACCAGGTGGCAAAACAATAGCAAAGTTTGATAATCAACTTGGATATGTCATTGCTTGCTTTATGCTTGTCACTTTTAAATATTTATCTCTTGTTTTATTTTTAACTGCAGACCACTCTTGTTAAAATTGTTGCATGACATCTGCGTCATAGATTGGTAGGAGGCTCAATGCCACAGGCCAACCTTAGTAGGAGGCAAAATTCTGAAACAACCTGTCATGTTTAGTTTCACCATTTCTGTTTAATTATAGCTTATTAATAGAATAATGCACGCTATTTAAAATCAAGCAGTGGTGCAGCTGGTAGTGTTTAGACCTTGGACCCAGTGGTCTTAACTGGGCCATTCTTTAAAAGCCTTTACTGTATCTGACTACAACACTATCCTTATTACTTCTGTTCCTTTTTTTCCAGGAACAAAGTCATTTTTCCAACACTAACAGCATTGAAAAAAATATTTTGAGCATATTGCGTTTTAATGACTTAAACAATAGGATCAGATTTTATAGGAATGGACTGCAATTTGTTATGCTAAGCCTTTTTTTCTTATCAAAATGAGTAATGTATTTTGGAAAGTAAGAAACAAATAAGTAAAATAGCTGTTGCCACTTCGTAAATCTTTCATTGGATGCTTTCTAACTATTGTATAAAGTATTAAAAAAATGAGGCATGAACGAAAGGGTTGCAAGCGGTATCAGTCTTGGCAGGTCTGGCCTCCCTATGCTGACCCTGGACCTCTTTGATGTTGCCACTATATTTACATTCCTGAGGGGTCATTTGATTGTTGATCAGGGTGAGAATTTTAATAATCTCGGCCCTGAATATCTGCCCAAAGTTACATTACAAGAATTATAAATGGACTTTAATAAATGTATTTATATTAGTCAGGACTAAGGTCTAATATTTATTACAGTACCGTCTCTCCTCCTATAACATATTGACGACCAAACAAATATGATATATTTCCCAAAGTATTGACTAAATAAAGAACAATTCAAATCCTCCCCCCCCCCAAATATTATATTTATTTTATTATTTATTTATTTATTATTTATTAATTGCATTTGTATCCCGCCCTTCTCCTTTCGGACTCAGGGCGGCTGACAATTAGATAAAATACTAACATATGTACATATACCTGATTAAAATTTGATTAAAATGAAATATTTAAGTATGTCCAATTAAAAATAATTAAAACCCCTTTAAAATCCCTTAGGCCAGTCCCGCTAGCTGGAACAACCACGTCTTGAGGGCGCGGAGGAAGGAAGGGAGATCAGGGATCACCCTGATCTCTGGGGGCAGTTCGTTCCAGAGGGTGGGAGCTCCCACAGAGAAGGCCCTCCCCCTTGGGGTCGCCAGCCGGCACTGTCTGGCTGACGGCACCCTGAGGAGACCCACTCTGTGAGAGCGTACAGGTCGGTGGGGGGTAGTCTGTGGCAGGAGGCGGTCTCGAAGGTAGCCAGGTCCGATATATTAGAGTAAATCCCATTGGTTCATTAGTGGTTTCTTTCATGTACATGATCAGAATAATTCTGAGATTTATATTCACAGATAAAATGTCATCTTTGCCCAAGATATATACATATAGCTTTTCCCCCCTATTTAAATGTTTTGTAGTTGAATTTAGATTGGCTAACCTAGCCTGGTTAGCCATTCTAAAACAATTGTAAAATACATAGTCTATTGGGATTGAAATAAGCAGGTAGCAAGTCCAGTCTTTTCCTCTTTTTTTAACATAAATTCATGGAGAGATTAGAAGCATTCAATTTTTGTTAGTTGAAGCTTACTTTCTTATTGTTGAAACAAACCAGTTTTATAATATGCGGTTTAATACTGACATACACCACATAAGGCATACCTAATACATTTTAGAATTCAAACAGAATTATATATACAATTAGATGTCTTGCAAGATGAGCAGCCATACAAATATGATAATAAATAAATAAAGTGTATTTTAAATCTATACTGCATATTGTAATTACACATTTTAAATCTACGTTAGAGCAAGTTTGGTATAGTGGTTAAGGTATCAGGCTAGAAAGCAGGACACTGTGAGGTCTAGTCCAGCCTTAGGCACAAAGCCAGCTGAATTACCTTGGGCCAGTCACTCTCTTTCAGCCCTAGGAAGGAGGCAATGGCAAGTCACTTCTGATATTTGGCCAAAAAACTGCAGGAAGTTGTCCAGGCAGCCAAAAGCATTGACTTAAAAAGAAAAAAAAAACCCTATATTACATATTTTAATTATGTTACATATTGCAAGCCTCGTGCTGAATGCCAATAGGTTTCTCTGTAATAATTCCTGTATAACTCCCTGTTTTTTTCTTTCAGAAACTGGTCAAGACATAATTGTTCTGGAAAGTGTTTGGGAATTATTGGATGTTGCCATTTGTAATGGGCTGTAATAGAACCTTAAGAGACAGGAGAAAACGCTTCAACCTAGTCCTAGACAGTGGTGTGATAAAAGAAATCTGGGTCCAGAGTAGAAATGGGGGTGAAGAAAGCATTTCAAAATTGACCCTCCCTAATTCTCTGGAACATAAAGGCCGGGAAGGAGGGAAATGTTTCAGACTTGCAAGACTGTTATTATAACCTTATAATAAATATCATATTAGTATTCTTGGTTTCAGTTTCCCAGTCTGGACTACGCTAAAGAATTGCTACCCTATATCAATCTGGGTACCTTGTTGGAATCTTGTTTCAACGTTCAATCTAAACATAGATTAATCTGCTTTTGTATTGGTTTTATTGACTTGGGATAGTTTAACTATATTGTGTTGTAGAATTTTATTTTACTGTTTACTGCAGCGAGTACTTTATTATGTGGTAGTTAGTTAATTAGTTAGTTGGATATAACTATATTGTAAATTAAAGGGAAGTTTTTAGGGAAATCTCTAACATAACCAAGAAATGGATCCCTGCACATTCTCAGGGCCCCAGGCTTGGGCAGAGAACCTGGTCTTCAGGCCTTTACAAAAAGCCAGTAGTGTCAGGACCTTTCTGTACCCAGAGGGAGAATGTTTCACAAGCTTGGAGCTATGGCAGAAAAGGCAACAACCAAAACCTTGAATTGTAGCTTGGCACATTGGCAACTAATGCAGCTCACAAAGTAGTGTTGTTACATGGGCCAAAAAACTGGAACAATTTATCACCCATGTTGCTGATTCTGCACCAGCTGAAGCTTCTGAGTGCTCTTCAAATGCAACTCCTGTAGAGTGCATTGCAATAATCCTGACTGGAGGTCATGAGGTAATAAGAGATAGTAAGCAGAGTACTTATCTGTTAATATTTTAGCATGTATTTTTATCTTCCAATAATGTGTTAAGAAAACTTAGTTACCTAGTGCCTATTGTTACTTCTGTTCAAACGCTTAGTTGTATGCCTTTTACCAGGTTGATCCTTTATATTGTATATTGTGGATAGATTGTCTCATCCAGTTAACTTGGGTTAATTTTAAATACAAAATTAGAATTTATTTGAACTACAGATTCAGTCCATAAAGTAAAAACAGCACCATTCAGAAGAAAAATTGGAAAAATATGAAGAAAAAAATTGCATTGTATTATTCATAATATAGGCATATATAACTCTTAATGATAACAATACTTAATAATTAGTGTTTAATTTAAACTCTAATATGAGTTTTTTTTAGTTTTACTCTATTTTCATAGAACTTTATAGTCATTCTGTGTTGCATAGACTGGATTGTTGAATGTAATATATTGAAATTAAACTGAATAAGTTTCTATTGTTGTGGAAAAAAATACAATAACCCATCCATTTAGCAATCTGGTAAATGAGTAAATAAATTGAAGTCATAATCCTCAGATTATTTACTCCAGAACAGCAAAATTGTAATGTAATTATATCATAATAAGTAACTGAAGAATGTATTTTAGCTTCAGTCAGACTTGGTTATTATGCTGGTAAAACATTAATCCTACTGATGTGTCATGCAGTTGTTTAGTTGTAGAGGGAATGCTTTGATTTGAGAAGGTATATTATCACACAGAAGTAAAAGCTATGAATATAATCCTCATTTATTGTAATAGTTACAGTGTGGGAAAATGGCTACATTCTTTAATGGTTCTCTTGTTTTTTTTTTCTTTCTCTCTTTTTTTCTCTTTCTTTCAAGCTTATGTTCCTGAAGAAGAACTCAAAGCAGCAGAAATTGATGAAGAAAGCGGGGAGGATGATGGGTTGCCTCTGGACATTCAAGAAACTGAGTACACGGGCCATGATGAAACAGAGATCAAGGAGGCTCAAAGTTACCAGAATTCTCCAGTCAGCACAGCAACAAATCAAGATGCAGGTTATGGTTCACCATTCAGTGAAAACAGTGACCAACTGGCCCATTTCAAAAGCACTTCCTCTAAAGAAGAGAAAGAAGATCACAAGTGCTTGGACAATGCTTCCTACCCACAGGACAGCTTAGCACAGATAAAAGCCGTGTATGCAAATTTACTGTCAGAATCTTGTTGGTCTGGTTTAGCTTTAGATTTAAAAAAAGCAAAGAATAATGAAAACAGCCAGAAAGAAAGCACCCCTAACAGCACCACTAGTATCAGTACCCCAAATACAAGTGCCAGTACCAGTACCAACACTACTACCACTACAAGCATCAGTAGTACTAGTAACAGTAGCAGTGGCAGTTCAGGTTATGACTGGCATCAAGCGGCTTTGGCCAAAACTCTGCAACAGACCTCATATGGACTTCTACCAGAGCCCAGTCTGTTCAGCACAGTACAACTTTACCGGCAAAACAATAAACTGTATGGTTCTGTGTTCACTGGTGCCAGTAAATTCCGGTGCAAAGACTGTAGCGCAGCGTATGATACACTGGTAGAGCTTACAGTGCACATGAATGAAACTGGACATTACCGGGATGACAACCAAGATAAAGAATCTGAAAAAACCAAACGGTGGTCAAAGCCCAGAAAGCGATCACTTATGGAAATGGAAGGCAAAGAGGATGCCCAGAAAGTACTAAAATGCATGTACTGTGGTCATTCATTTGAATCTTTACAAGACTTAAGTGTCCATATGATAAAAACAAAGCATTACCAGAAAGTGCCTCTGAAGGAACCAGTACCAGCCATCACCAAACTGGTGCCTTCTACCAAAAAACGAGCACTTCAGGACTTGGTTTCACCTTGCTCACCTGAGCCAACAGCAATCACTTCAGAGACGACACTTAGTGAAGCAGCAAAGGATCAGAAAACTGCCAATCCATATGTAACGCCCAATAATCGCTATGGCTATCAAAATGGTGCTAGCTACACTTGGCAGTTTGAGGCCCGCAAAGCTCAGATATTAAAATGCATGGAATGTGGCAGTTCTCATGACACTTTGCAGCAGCTGACTGCTCACATGATGGTCACAGGACATTTTTTGAAAGTAACTAATTCGGCCTCTAAGAAAGGAAAACAGCTAGTACTGGACCCTGTAGTTGAAGAAAAGATACAGTCCATACCTTTGCCACCTACCACTCATACAAGATTACCAGCTACAACTATTAAAAAGCAGCCGGATTCTCCTGCTGGATCTACAACTTCTGAAGAAAAGAAGGAGCCAGAAAAAGAACAGGTGATTGTTACTGAAACAGACAAAAAAATTAAAGAAGAAAATGAGGACTCTGCAGAAAAATTTGAGCCAGTAGCTGTATATCAGTACCTCCGAGAAGAGGATCTAGATGAAAGTCCAAAAGGTGGAATTGACATATTGAAATCTCTGGAGAACACAGTAACCACAGCTATAAGCAAAGCTCAAAATGGAGCACCTTCCTGGGGAGGCTACCCTAGCATTCATGCAGCTTATCAGCTTCCAGGAACCGTTAAATCCCTTCAGCCAACTGTGCAAAGTGTTCAGATTCAGCCATCATATGCTAGCAGTGTAAAATCATTGTCTTCAGAACACAGTGCGCTAATCCATTCACCAGGCAATCTGACACCCCCTCCTCATAAAAGTAATGTCTCTGCCATGGAAGAGCTAGTAGAGAAGGTCACGGGCAAAATCCATATTAAAAAAGAAGAAAAGCCTTCAGAGAAAGAAAAATGTTCTCCAGTCAAGCCATTGTCCCCTGCTCCTAAGGAAAGCAAAGACTTTCCAAAATCAGAGGAAAGCAACAAACAACAACAACTACTACATCAGCAGCCACAACAGCAAAAACAGAGTCCTGAGACTGAGGTTCAGAAGGTCAAAAAGGATGTTCTAGCTGACCCGCATGCACTTAATGGTACTGAACCACCTAAAGCAAAAGTCACAAATGGCTGTAATAACTTAGGTATCATTACAGATCATTCACCAGAGCAATCATTCATTAACCCACTGAGTGCTTTGCAGTCCATCATGAATACCCACTTAGGAAAAGTCTCTAATCCTGTAAGTCCTTCTTTGGATCCTTTGGCCATGTTATATAAAATTAGTAACAGCATGTTGGACAAACCCATTTACCCTACAACTCCGGCCAAGCAAGCTGAGGCTATTGACCGGTACTATTACGAGAACAGCGATCAGCCTATTGATTTAACAAAGTCTAAAACCAAACCACTGATTTCCAGTGTGACTGATTCTGTCTCATCTCCTCTAAGAGAAAGTGCCCTAATGGATATTTCTGACATGGTAAAGAACCTCACAGGGCGCTTGACTCCCAAGTCTTCGACTCCATCTTCTGTGTCAGAAAAATCTGATGCAGATGGAAGTAGCTTTGAAGAAGCTTTGGACGAACTGTCTCCAGTACACAAGAGGAAGGGTAGGCAGTCAAACTGGAACCCTCAGCATCTTCTCATCCTTCAAGCCCAGTTTGCTTCCAGTTTGAGGGAGACACCAGAAGGCAAATACATTATGTCGGACCTAGGCCCACAAGAACGGGTTCATATCTCAAAGTTTACTGGTCTTTCCATGACCACAATTAGCCACTGGCTGGCCAATGTGAAGTATCAGTTAAGGAGGACAGGTGGAACTAAATTTTTAAAGAATTTGGATACAGGTCATCCTGTTTTCTTTTGCAATGATTGTGCCTCTCAATTCAGGACTGCTTCCACATATATAAGTCACTTGGAGACACATTTAGGGTTCAGTTTGAAGGATCTGTCCAAATTGCCCCTTAATCAGATACAAGAACAGCAAAATGTTTCCAAGGTCCTCTCAAATAAGACTTTAGGCTCACTTGGAATTGCCGAGGAGGACTCAGGATCCACATTCCAGTGCAAGCTCTGTAATCGAACTTTTGCAAGCAAGCATGCAGTCAAACTGCACCTTAGTAAAACACATGGGAAGTCCCCCGAGGACCATCTGATCTATGTAACTGAGTTAGAAAAACATTAGCGTCCAGGTAAGCAACCAGGTATGCAAGTGACCACAGGAACATTGCACTAAACTTCATAGTACTGCACTAGGCCTGATCTGAGCCTCTGAAATCAGTCTTACTTTTGTTGCTGAACTGCCTATCTGGAGCTTGGTTTTTCTTACATACTTTTGTAGTTATATTTATATGCTCTTTGTCTGATCTGTGCATGTTTTTAAAACCTTTTTTTTCCCTTTCCTTCCCCCCCTTCTTTTTCTGTGAGTCAAAGTCTGACCTTTATTTTCAACATATGTCCTTGATGTTAAGCTATCTTTTGTAGACTATAGTGGGAGACACTATTGAGAGACATTAATTTAGCCGTAAAGAAAGACACAAAGAACAATAACAAAAAGACATTCTAAAATTACAAAGTTGCCATGACAATAAAGGTCACAGAACCCCGTAGTGTCAGTTTTTAACCCTCTGAGGACTATAATAGTATTCTGTGCCTTTCCCAAAAGAAGGTGTGTGTTTTTTTCAAAAAAGGCATTTCATCCTAATATAACTGGGTCAAATTCACTTATATTTAAATGTCAAAAAGCCTTTTCCCCCCAAAAAATGCAGTCTTGATTTGCAAAGAAAAGATGCATGCCATTCTTGAATAATTATAAAAAGTGATTAAATGCTCAAGGAGTTAGAGAACGATGACCCATGTTTTAAAAAATAAAAATCACAAACCAATTTGCCACTATGTCCAAACCCTCTGAATGCTGAACATTGCCACTTGACTGGCATAAAAAGTATGCAAGTTATTTTAAAAATGTAAAAAAGTTATTTCTTTTTCCTGTAAGATACTGCAGTTTATAGTTATTTACAAATGTAAGCTTTGGTACAGGCTGATCTTTCTATAGTGTGCTGCATTGGTACATGAAAATGAAACAAAACAACAAAAAAATGGGGCAAGTGTTGGATTCTGATCCTTGTAAATTGCCAGCATCAGCTTAGGTTAAAAAAAAAACAGTACATGTTGCATATTGTACCATTTTAAATTGTTCAACTTCCTTTGTACCTTCTGGCTGTATGCTTTCTCTCTTAACTTTTTATATTGTCATTTTATATTCAATTTCTGTGTATATAATGTAAAAACACACTTTTTTGAATAAAATTGAGTTCCTGCAGCTTGAGTTAAATAGAGAAATTTTACTGGCACCTGCATCTTCCCAGATGCATGTACTCAAAGGAGCTATCTGACAAAATAAATAAAAATAAAGCAAACAATGCACTATGAATTATACATTTTGATGTTTTATCATTAATATTGTACAGTACCTTTTTGGTTCACGCAATGAAATCCACTGTTTTCTCAAATGTAAAATAAACCCACATGCAGTTCTTGATTTGTGCATATTGTGATGTCATCATTACTTTGCCTTTGAGGTCTTCATTTCAGCAGGTACAAATTTCAGCCTGAAGTATGTGTGAAATAATTTCTGTACTCTTAATATGCACCATTCTGTTACATATGCAATGGCGATGTTCCAATTGTTACTGCAATAATTCACAGATGCTGATGAATACATTGTGTAATTTTTTTATGTGGTGTAGGTGTTTAATCTGCTTTGAAAACATGACTTTTGCCCACCTGAATGGTGTATAAGTTCCTGATAGCTACCCATTTGGACCATGCTCTTTAAAAAGCATCCACTTGCTTCATCTTTAACCCCTGTTTTTGTGTAACAGATTTGCAGCTTCTTTCAGACTGAAGCCACACTTGGTTTTTGAGTAGAATGCTGCAGACTACACTTCAGACAGTAGGAGGCAGTCAGGTCAAAAAGTACATTTATTTCATTTATAGTCAATCAATAGCTGTCCCTATAAATAATATATTTAATACATTTCCTTTTATCTTGCATTAAAAAGAACAGTTCACTACATTTTTCAAAATCTTGGTGAACTTTCTATTGAAGAAGTTTATAGCTCCTCAGATGAAGCCTGAAAGTCATGGTCTATATCTTCTACAATTTCCCACTTTACCTCAGAAGAAGTTGCATGATGATTATGACTACAAGTAGTCCTTTTCTTATGACTGGTCTGTTAAGAACTGAAGTTGTGACAGATGTCTCCAGAGCAACTTACGAGTTACAAAGGCTGAACACACACTCATACACAGACCCATGATCACGTGATTGCATTTTGGGCACATTTTACAGCTGTTTGCTACATTCTATTGTAATGTGACTGTTTTGTGACTTTTTTTTGGCATTCCAGTTTCTGGCAAAAATTGCCCATTGGGAAAAATTCATTACTTACCAGTCACTTTAAGGGACCATCGCATAAAACGTCATAAAATCAGGTCTGATCACATGTCACCGCATGACTGCAGTGGCTTGCAACAATAATTGTGGAGTCAATTATTTATATCCTTTATTAAATTTGTTCACGGCCTATCTCACCATGAGGTGACCTTGGGTGGCTTGCAATATTAAAATGAAACCAGTATTACCAATTACGATTGTAAGTCGAGGACTACCTGTACAGTAGGAGGGCTGGCTTTTAGCCCTGTGTTCTTGCTCTACAACAAATAGCGGCAACTTGATGCCATCCAGATATTTGCAGGCTTCAATATTTGTGAGCCCCAACAGCCATTTTCAGTGGGAAAAGATAATGGAAGTTGATCTAACCTATCTGTAGGGTATCTGGTTTATTCCCTTCTGTCTTCAAGTTCATTTTGATTTCACTTGTTAATTGTTGATTTGGAGTCATATTTTCCTCTCTGCGTTCAAGAATATTTCTCACTTATTGCTCCTCCTGTCTCTTAATAAACATAAATATTATAGCCTCTGAAGCCCCTAGATACGGCTCTGTAGGTAAATATGACTTTTACATACAGACACCCCTGACAGATCTGGCATCTTGTTGCAACACTTCATTTTTACAGTAGCCAACTGCTTCTGAGCTGCCCAGAAGTGGAAGATGAAGACATACTCTACTGCCAAATTCCCTGCACTGAATTTGGAAGCATGCTGTCTGCAATTTGGAGGTAACTTTCAGTCTTCAAAATTATAGACAGACGAGGCCATAGCAGGGCACCTGTCGTGCTAGTTTTTGCTCTTCTGTGCATCAATTTACATTTGCTTAAATTTACAGGTAGTCCTTGATTCAACCGCAATTGAGCCCAAAATTTCTGTTGTTAAGCGAGGCATTTGTTAAGTGAGTTTTGCCTCATTTTACCACCTTTCTTACCACAGTTGTTAAGTGAATCAGCACAGTTAGGTTAGGTGAATCTGGCTTTCCCATTGACTTTGGTTGTCAGAGGATCACGAAAGGGGATCACACGACACCAGGATACTGCAACTGTCATAAATATGAGTCAGTTGCCACGTGTCTGAATTTTGATCATGTGACCGTGTGGATGTTGCAACGGTGGTAAGTGTGAAAAATGACCAGCCTATAATTTTCTTTCGTTCCCTTTTAGGAAATTAGTATTGAATTGATAACTTTCTAGTTCTCTGGAAATAAGTATTTTCTGGGGGGAAAAGTTAAATATTTTGCTATTGGAGTAGTCATTTCACTTCTTTCCATTCTTTAAGAACACTGGGGGTGAGTGACACTAGGACCCAGTGACAGATTACTGTAGAAAGTTATCCTAGAATATCTTCTCTTGTTACTTCAATTTCCTGTAGTTATTCCTTCTGAAAGTCAGTACAGGCTCAGATCTTTGCCCTGTATATTCTCTGATAAGGACAATACAAAAATGTGTTCTCTTTCAATCTCTATATCCTCTTGACATTTCTCAGAACTAGTTGTTTATTTTTCTAATTGAAGAAAGGGACATAGCAGGATTTATACGTTGGACTGATATACAGGCTTTTTTTTTTTTTAAAGAAATGTAATTTGAGAAGCAGCCCTCGGAATCTAATTCAGCATGTTTTTAATGGTTGAAAGCTTCCTAATAAGATGGCCTGCTTAATGACTTGTTCACATAGTACATTTGAAAAGAATAGGTGTAGCATTTGCTAAAGATTAATTAAATTGTGGAAGTTCATGGCAATGAAATAGGTGCACCAAGCCATATAAGACTTCTGCTTAACACTGAGATTTCTATTAATGTTTTCAAAATGCATGTAAGGAAGCATCTATAACGCTACAAAATTAAATGTGTTGGGAGGCTGAAAATGTCTGGCCCTGGTACATGTCTTGCCCTAGTAGGCTGAGCTAACACTGGGACTGTTGGAATGCCCTATATAGTTATATTTGGGCTCCGATACAGAACTAAATTAAGGCAGTGGGAGAATTTTATTATCAAATTTGTATACTCAGGCATCCAGTAAATGTGTATGTGTGTGCGTTTGTGCATGTGTGCACACATGCCTGTGTGTGCTGAAAAGGTTAAATTCTGTCATTTGCCATCATTTTCATTTGATCTTTGCACTGTCCTATGCTAATGTTTTTTTAAAGGGAAGGGGCAATAAGAAAGACTTCAGTAGAATGCCATAATGTAGCTTGAATCTTGTATGATCATAATCAGGTCTGGCTTGCAGGCATGCACCTTTTTTGTTTTCTGCTATTTTCATGAAAAATATTTAGAAGCATGTTGAAACTAGGATTTTGTCTGGTTGCAAATATCCAGAGAATCACTAGATGACAGCAAATAGACAGTAAGTTTTTAATTCTTTGTTTCTTCTCTTCCACAAAGAATGGCTGAAACAGCTAGATAAGAAATGATGTTCAGTGTTCATTACACACTGAAAGCACAATGGAAAGAATGCTAAGCTAGAAAACATTCTCTTCCTTCAGCTTAATTTCTCTGTATATCTTGAGAATTTTTACTCCAAAGGAATAAGACCTTATCTATTGTTATGTGAACCAGGACAAACTTGTTGATTATCAAAAGATGTATATTTTTAAAATACTAAATATGTTATTTGTTTATATTACACAAATTAGAAAAGCACAAGGCAGCCCTGAAAGTAAATAATATAATCTCTTTCCACCAATACAAGTTTGTTGCTTCTAATCCCAATAATTTATCATTCTGCTTACATTCCTTGCATAGCTATCCTTCCCTCCCTCCATCCATTTCAGGTGTAATAGTCCTCCAAAGTTTTGCCATTAGGTTACAGACAGACAGACCTGTATGTTTTAAATAGTGCATTTTGAGATCAAGTTAAGTTCTATCACGACAGGGCAAAATGTCCAGTGTAGATGCCACTTAACAATGAGCTGCCTAGGCTTTTTTTCTTTTTTCTTTGCTTTATGCTATGAAGGCTGTAACAATTAACACCAGTTCGGTATGCACTGCACATGTTAAAAGGGCATTCTGTAGGAGTATCTCAGAGATTTGCTTCTCAGGTGAGAAAAGCAGTAACAGCCCTTCACAGTACATGGAAGGTCATATGAAACATTTGCACTGCTATAATTGGTGGTCTGACTTGGATTGGTCTGACTTTAAGTAACTCAGATTGTCTTCTAATAAATGGCTTCTTTATGAAGTTAACCTGGTGTTAATGTAATTGAGGAATGGTGATATTCTGGCAGCCATTTTTCACAAAAGATCTGCTTTTTACCCCAAAGTTTGCACCAGCAAATAAATGCTTGGTTGCTAATATAATGCAGAGTTTCTGGATGCATGATGGAAGAATAGATATATCAATGTGAATAGAGTACTATGTTTTTCTGGTAATGAAGTTTTTTGTAAAATTATGTTGCCATATCAAAGGATTGA